TACTGATCTTTCATTGGAGAAATTTACCTCTGCATTTAACCCATCCCCTTGGGTAGGAGTAGGGCTGCAATCGTGGAGCGCCGCCCAAGGAGCAATCGGGGATAAGTGTCTTGCTCAGAGAGCCAGAGTTGCAGTCTGTGGGAGTGGGGCTTGACCCTCAGAACCTCAGGATTCCAACTCTATGCCCTAATCACTAGGCTGCCACTCCCCCTAGCCATTTATTGATCTAGTATAATATTCAAATTCTCTCAGACATGAATTCTGGGTTTTCATTATGTAAGGATATTATTTATCACAGAGAAACTATGAATGTGGTGATAAACAATATAGAAATCTGTAACGGTGTGTCTTTAATCTGTTTCCCTGATTGGTATGCCTTGTCATCACTGACAGAACACAGGAGCACAGATCCATACTACAGTAGCCGGAAAAATATATCTACAGTTTCATTTTGAAATTCAAGCCGTGCCATGTTTCTACATCAGCAGTGGGAGAAATGCCTTTGAAGTTTTCTTCAGCCTCCTTGCCCCAGGAAATATCTAGTAAAATCACCAACTTCACACAAGTACCACTTGATCAGAACAATAATCAAGCCAGTCTGCATAACAAATCTTTTGGTTTCCTTCTAATGCGAGTCAAAGTCCAACAGGTTATTTTGCCCAGTAGATTGGAACACAAACAGCATGAGCAAACATGTATCTTAAACAGTCTTTTCAGAGAAAATTTGTATTTTCTGTCTTGAGATAAGAGGTTTTGTATGAACCTGCCCTCCTAAAATACAACAGAGAAGTGGAAATGAAATGTATTTGTTCTCTTCTTAGCAACACATACTGACATTGTGTGCTGAAGCAACTGGTTTCTACTTGTAGCTTTAAATAATTATTAAACCAAACCTCATATGTTTTTATCATCATATTTCTCCCTTGTGCGATTGAAAATGATAAAATTCACTGATAAGGTTGAGATTTTTAATGGCTTGTTAACTTTCAGATCCTGCTTTATTTGGAAGAACAAATCAAGCCATGGCTACACACTCAGGCGTAACACCTTTGGGAGGAGAGGCAGAGGCCAAAAGAAACTCTTCCAATTTGGCCGACAGTGTGAGTCGTGTGAAGCAACCACAAACAAGCCAAAGAAATATGCATAGTTTGCTCAGATTTCTGCACTTTGTTTGATTCGACTGAGCGAAAAGACAAAGTGGTTAAATAGACCTATGCTGTTTGTCTCTGGCAGGCAAAAGTCTGCATTTGGCAAACTCGAACTTCAAGCTTTTAAAGTGCTGGTCGTTTAGTCCAAGTTAGACAGAGATCTGCCCAGCCCAGGCACATATGCCAAGTGCAGAAATTGCTTTGAACCTGTTATTTTCCCACAGGTCACATTAAAGCAGTTTTCACTTTATCAGGAAACAGACAAAATAACCTCTGCAACAGCAGCAGCTAGGTGTATTTCAACCGCAACATGTCTGGAATAATATGTGAGGAATGTAATTAACTGATTAGAAAACCTTTGATTAAAATTACATTAATTATATTATTGATTGACAGAGCTTTCTGTTTGATAAAGTTGAAATACATGGCATGGTGTAAGCTAAAAACACTTAGACCTTTGGTGGGAGTATTTTTTCTTTATTCTAAAAATAGATTTACTTTTAATAGTTGTTATAAAATCAAAGTTCAGAACAAATAGAATTATTCTCGTGCAGAAGATCTAAAAGTTCTTGCTTCTAATGTCTGCCTTGCACACAACCAGCTTTGATTAAGAAAAACTCAGGAGTTAAAGCAGCAACAAAGCACGTATTTCTTTAAGCAAAAAGGCTGCTAAGTACTGGGTTGTGTTTTTGTGCAGAAAAAAAAAAACAATCAAATAAAAATAAAATGGACCCCCACTCTGTCAGGGGAATCATTTACCCCACAGATTTATGTTTCTGTGTCTTATTTTTCCGTTTTTATGGAAAATAAAGACATAAAAGCATAACATACCCCTGAATCTTCACTTATTACACTAAAAGCTACAGTACTGTTTGCACTTCACCACAGGAAGCAGCTATAAGAAGCTAGAAAAGTGGTAGCTTAAAACTCCCACTTATTTAAATTGACATATTTTCTAGCATTTTGTAAAACTGCTCAGTAGTTTTTACTTCCACTGTTGCTAAAGATGTTTGTTTTTATAGGCAGTTAGAAGCTACATGATAGAAGATCAGATGCAAACGTTTCATCCTTCCATCAATGTAGGAGTTAAAGAATGGATGTAAAGACAAACGCTTCAATAGGACACAAATATCTGTAGTCATTATAATACTTTTCAGTCATGGAATGATGCTTTTATGTTCTGTTAAAGATGCTAAATAAACTCTTTAGTGGAGGAAGCATAACCTTTTCCTAAAGCTTTGTAAAAATGTAAAACTTTAAGACCAATGCTAGAAACCCAACCCTTAGCTCTCCCATAAAAAAAGGTTGCAAATATTTTGTTGGGTTTTTTTTTTTTTTTGGGTACTATTTTCATCATATGAGTAAGTATTCAGTTAGCTAATAATCTGTACATTTCATGTGTATAAATATGGCATAACACAGATGGCAACTTCTTTTTACCGCTGGCCAGTAGGTTGAGGAAGGTCCCACAGATATCCTTCCACCAAACATGATAAGAAAGATGGAAATGGAGATTCAAAACCTCTCATATTAAAGAAAAGCAAGAAAATAATTGCATCTAACAAGCTTTACGCCAATACACTGATGGACATGATACTAAAAAACAACCCAGAAAATCTCTCCTGGAAGGCCCACTACCAAGATGCATAACTAAAGCTTGTTTCTGCCTTATGCGTATTTCTTGGATAATGAACCTGCAGAGTTTTACATTCTTTCAGACCTCCATTTATCTTACAAAGAGACTTGTCTCATTTGGTCTGGAAAACAAACAACAACACTGTCTGTTGTTATCCAGCGAGCTTGTGATCCATCTGTATCACCTTTACTGTTACACACTTCCTGTGGGGAAAGGCTGCTAACTCATGGTTTTTTGAAATATTTCAACAAAGAGCTTAATTCAGGCACCTTCTTGCCCTCCTCTTGTTATCTCTTGTACTACAATTATCATCCTCCTTAAACATGTGAAACCAAAAAAAAAAAACAATTACATGCTATATTTATTAACTGTATCCTCAGTATAATTTGTATGAAAAAAATAATAATCAATCATATTTTTTTCTTTTATTTCAAAAACTGGAATTCTTCACACAACTCTCTGAACTGTATGTTTATATCAATTCCACTATTGTTCTTTTTATAAATATAAGATGATTAAGAGAAAGATTTAAAATAATAAAAAGAATCATTGATTATTTTCCCCTATCTCTTTTAGTTTTACTACCATGTCTAATAAGGTTTCAAGTAGATATGCAAAATGCAAAGTTTTCAATTGCCCTACAAATGGGATTCACTTCCTTAAATTTCTCCAGCAGAGAAAAACAGACAGTAGATTCAGATCTTGGCTAAAGGACTGGTAATGTTTAATGTGGGTTACAAACTTTTTGGTCAAAAGTCAGGTGTTCTCACTAACTTCAGTTTCCTGGTCCACCCTGTGCCCAAACTACTCAGCAGTAGTTTGGGCACAGGTTTGGGCACAGCAGTAGTACTTTGATACAAGTACACCCTCCTATCTTGCTTTTGAACCTGACTTTAATTTGCTGTTAATGATTGGTGAGAGTAACATTTTGTGAAATGTACGGGACTGTACAACTGTTCTGAACTATTCCAGATTTGGCAGATCTGCCACTGGTGCCATTGACATGCCATCAGGTTGATTGGGAGAGATGCCAAAGCTTTTCTCATTTACCATCATAAAGATGGGGTGGGGTGGGGTCAATTCTTCGTTGACTTAAAATAGAAAAATCTGGTATGATCAGATGAAAATTAGTTTAAGAATTATGGCAATGATTACTCGAGATTGAAATGCACCTCATTGCCTCATTTTAAGCGATCAGATGAACTTCTGAAGGCCATGGGAATCAGTAAGGGCATAATGACCTTTTTGAAATACTAGGAATTTTCTTTTTTTTTAAACAGCTACTGGTTTCTACCAAAGTAAATTAAAAACTTGTCATGATTTTTGGCTTTTAAGCTAGAGTTAAATCATATCACTAAAAAGAGAGAAATGGTTTAAGTTGCCACAACATTCAGCTTCTTCCATGCCTCTTTCTCTCCCCAAACCTTAATCTGAAAGAAAACGTGTGGAGAACCATGGGCGCTTCTAGACAGGGGCCAACAGGAGTACTGAAGACATATTACTAAAAGAAATTCTAATGATGATATGCGCTGAACAGACATGGTTACTGTTAGGTCCTTTGGATCAATTTCTTTTCTTTTTTTTGTCAATTATTTACAATAAGGTGATAGCTTCAGTGCTATAAAGATAGTATCCCAGTTTTCATCTGCTAAATTTGTTTTTCCAAATCAAATAAAAGAAAATGCTCTCATTCAGAGTGCATATAAAACGGTAATTTATTATTATTATTTTTTTACTTAAATGAAGTCAAAAATATGTAAAATTCCTAAACTATGAATTTGTATTGACCTAATAAGAAAATAGAATTTTATTAAACCTAATTGAATAGAGATTTCACTTCATGCAGATATCTTAATATATTTTAATCCCTTGGCCTGATTTTTTGTTTCATGCTTTTCTATGCCCCTATGAAAAAACACTGGCCCCCTCCTGGCCCCCTGGTACATTTGGTCTAGAACCGCAACTGGAGACAACAGATTTTGCTTAGAAAAGCTTTATTTTATTGTTTGATTTTTCTTATTGTTCCTGTGATTTTAAAATTATAATAAAAGATTGATTTATATCAAACTTTATAAACCTTTAAAATCTTCGTTGCATGTAAATGTATCCCTTATTGTCCAGAAATGTCCCTTAGAGAACCACACATGTAACTGAGCGCAGCAGTTAGTTTCAGGTAGCGCCACCGCCCTCTAGCTGCAGAGCAGAGAACTGCATCCCCAGAGCGTTTCATCCCTGAAGCTCGCCCTTCATATCACTGAGGCGCCGCTTCAATGTGCAGGGACGCAGCCAATCTCTTCCTTATGACGCCAGCGAGGCTGGGCTCAGATGTCTAAGGTTTAACAGACCCACCCTGGATGAACACTTGGAGGAGAGAGAAAAGGCGGCGCTGGGAGGACAAAATCACGACCTGGATCGCAACACCTGCCAGGGAGACGCTCACTTCAGCGACGCTCGCAGTAAAAAAAAAAAAGAAGTGGGGCAGCATCCGAGCATCTCACCGATAACCTGCTCTTTAATGGATTGTTTTCTTTATTCTTGATCTTATATATTAATTTTAGATATTATTGGAAAGCTTTATTCCAGCGGACTGTGTGAAATCTACCTCTGTTGGGACTTTCTATTTGATCAGAGAGCAGTTATGCTGCTTTGATGTCTCACTCCGCGCTGGGAAGCAGGTTAAAGGAAGAGCATCGATGCGTTTAACGGGACCCCCTTTGTTACATCCTCATGAATGAAGACTCTTAGACGCAACTTCACCTCTCAGGACATGAAGGATCATTATAAATTAAACGAGACTCTTAAATATGATGGGATTTTTAAGTGGGATTGGAATAGAAGATCAGCATAGTTTTATTGCTGCGTTCTCAGAGAAAATTACTAAATCCTAAAATATCCCTTCAAGAAAACAAGTATAAAGCCTATAGAACAATGATATTGTTTCGTAGATTCAGAGTGTTGATCCTTATGGTGTTTTTAGTTGCGTGCACTCTGCACATCATGATAGACTTGCTGCCAAAGCTAGAGAAGAGAGCTGTCGGAGCGCACGGAGAGGAGGGTGGCTGCCAGTGCGCGCAGCACCCGGGCAGGGAGGCGCAGGGCTGGGGAAAGCAGCGAGCCAGGACGGCCGCCGACGCGGGTTGGCCTAACAAGCACACGTTGAGGATCTTGCAGGATTTCAGCAGCGAGCCCGGCTCCAACCTCACGTCCCACTCGCTGGAGAAGAGCGCAGCCGGTGCGGACAGAGCCGGAGAGTCCGGCGGAGCGTCAGCGAAGCAGCACAAGCCTCTGATGAGGGAAGGGACCGGGGGTCGCACCGCCTCTGTAAATCAGGCAGCCTCCCGGTTATCGGCTTTGTTTGAGCATCCCTTATACAAGGTTGACCTTCCTCCCCTCACGGATGATGATACTTTGTTTAACGTCAACAATGACATCAGGTTTTATCCAAGAGCCACAGGGAACCAGGGATGGTAAGCTGATTAGAGTTTAGGGTTAACACTTGGAAAATGATCAGTTCTTTATATAAATCTGTTAAACTTCTAATGTTAAGAAGTTTACACTAAGAAACAGATGGTTAACTGTTTTTTATTTGTTCATTTATCTATATATATCCATTTATTTTATGTAATTCTGACACAAAACTTTAAAATCATCAGAATGTTTTCTAATTATTTTTTACCTTTATTAGTTCCAGTACAGTCTTAAGATTTTACTTCACAAATTCCCTTACACCAGCTAACACAACAAAGTCTTGTTAAATCTTACCATACTGTATTTCTCCTCAACTCTTGTTATTATTATTATTTTTGTCCCCCAGGCATAATGAGGAGGGGGATGAGGATGAGCTTTCTCCAACTGCCGAGGTGACAGCAGAGTCTTACCCCAACTGGTTGCGTTTCCACATTGGGATTAACCGATATGAGCTCTACCCCAGGCACAGCCTGGTGCTGGACGCCTTGCTGAAGGACCTGGTCAGTCAGAGGATCACCAGCGTGGGTGAGTCAGTCAGGGAGAGCCCTGTTAATGGGGATTATGAGCTAGGTATACTGATCCTACACAGTCTAGGAAATCATGTAATATGTTTACATTTTGGGCTGCACAGTGGAACAGTGGGTAGTGTTGCTGCCTTGCACCGGGGTCTTTCTGCATGTTCTCCCTGTGCATGCGGGGTTCTCTCCAGGCACTCCGGCTTCCTCCCACAGTTCAGAATGAGTGCGTGAATGGTTGTCCAATGTCTCTATGAGTTGCCCTGCAATAGACTGGCGACCTGTCGGAGATGGGCACCAGCACCCCTCGCGACCCCAGCAGGGATAAGCGTGTTGGAAAATGGATGGATGTTTACATATTTCCATCTCTGGATAGTATGGAGAAAAGAAACTGTGTGAAAAAAACAAGTTACATTTCCAAACTTCAATTCTGGACAGGATTGCCCTGTTCCTAGCTTTATGCTTCTTCCCACATCCTGATGCTGGCATCATCCGTTTTTAACATGAGGGGAGTTAGGGTGATGAGCATGCAGTGTCCATCCATCGATTTACACAACCTGAGATAGTTTTTTGTTTTTTTTTACTCTTGGTATTGATTAGTTAAATATGAACAAATCAATAATTAATGACTTAAAACGAATATGAATTTTCTTTGCAATAGATGACAGGTTAAAGTGATAAAGCAATATGATCAAAAAAATATGATAAATAGATATAAAAAGGACAGATGTGGGAGCAGTTTTAACTCTGGACAGCTCTACAATTTCAGACTGTTTTGATCCAGATTTTCAGTGTCCTTTATAAAAGTAATAAAAATGCTCAAAAAGCAAGAACAACAAAAACTCCCAACAGAATGACAACAATCATACATTGATTTTGTCTGTCCTTTCTAAAGTTTTTATTATGATTGTTTGTCCTTCAGCTACTTTCTATTTTTTCTCCCAAACTAATTCAGCTTCATTGTATTCACAGGGTTGTTTGAGACATTTTTTATTTAGTCTAAGTTGAGTAAAAATGACTCTTCTATCAAAAATGTTTTGCAGAAATAATCTTATACCTTAATACCTTTAGGTCTTACACTTACTGAACATAAAACTAAACAAGAAGTCTAGATCCATGTAGAGGTTTGCATTTTGTGCTGTCTTTGCTGATGAAATGGTTATAGATAGACAAAAAAGAAGTCATATACATTCAAATTAAGAATGAGAAATTCAAATTCATGCTGTTTTCTAGTTTTCAATAATCCAGAATTCTTTTGGATTCTTATCTAGCAACTGGGTTTTCATTTGATATCAAACCTTTATAAGCTACACTCCTCCGTCTTTTCTCTCTGCAATGAAAACTTGTGTGATCTATGCGCCTCAAGTGGTCTATAATTGCCCCCGCCATTCATCTGTTTTTATTGGTATTATAAGTTACAAAACATATATTTTCTGCATGGCATTAGAAAAGGCTCCCTCATCAGCATTTTCTTCCAAATCTCACTCGTTCCAAATCATGCTTGCTCCTTGTTCCTCCTTTGTGTCTTGTTTCTGCTTTTGAGCATTTGTGGCCTTTTGTTCAGGATTCAGCTTACCTCATAAATCATACTTGTGGAAGCGCAAAGAAGCACAGGTGAAGGCAAGATGGATTTATCATAACGGTACGAAGAAGACGGGGGCAGGTTTGATTGCTGCTGGGGGAGGTATTCAGAACCAAAATGTGCCATTAGAAATTATTGTAATTGCATATCAGCGGACATAAAATATAAAACAAAGCAATCACTTAAGCTATGTTTAGGCTTCTTGCCAGGGTTTTTTTTTATTTTTTTTTATTAAACTGTCAGGATTATAAGCTTGCATGTTTGGACCGGGGTCATAGCTTTTAGTTTCACTAATGCTCTGGGTTTAAGCATCTTTAATGGTTCCACAGGGAGGCTATCCACCTGAGCTGGATAGAGTAAATGTATTACATGATTCCATGTCTCCATTGTTTTGCACATTTACCTAAACTAATCAAGCCCATTTTAATTTCTGACTTAGAACTATGAGATAGAAATACATAAAAACATAAGTGATCATATCCTTTTAGTCCCCCTTTCATAAAATGTATAAGACAGACACATGTAGCACATGGCTGCTTCTGTAAAATGGTGTTCCAATATTTTTTTACAGCGAAAACAAGATTATAATGTTATGTTTATATGTTTGTTTTGGCTTTAGCACCCAATATTAGCAAATAGAGTTAGCGTGGGTAACTATGTTAAAAAAGGAGTCTTGTATTTTTAACTCTAGAGCTGTAGATTGTTATTATAAGAAGATTTACCAAATTCTGTCAGCATTTAGAAAATGAGCATGTTTCATTATAGGGAAGGGTTAAAAGCTCAACATTTTCCCTGTCAGCTGTTTAAAGATTTGCTCTCATCCTCTTTCACAGCCTGAATACACTAAAGTTGTCTCAATATTGTATAATATACAGCTTCTTTTAAATAGATTTCTCCACTTGTTTTAGAAGAAAAAACATCAGAGACGACTCTTAATATCCAGGCGTAAAAATGTATAAAGATTTGCCTTAAAATTAGTTTTTTCTGTCCCTTTTTTTTTTTTTGTTACTTTTTGAAGTGCAGGATTAAATTGAAAGAAGCTGGGCTTGAACTCACAAGCTCCTAGTATCAGAAATGCACCGATCCATTTTTTTCTTTCCCAGTCCAATACCAATACTTGGGCTGAGTGTATTGTCCTATAATAACACTACTATTGAATGAATAGATATGAGTGAAGGCATAAGGTTTGAAATAATCATTGTTAGAAGTAAGGTAACAAATGATTAGAGATATAAATGGACTAATTATTATTGATTAACTAATACAGTGTGAACACTTCCATAAAGTTTCCACTGCAAGCAGATATTTTAAATAATATAATATAGAGGCTGCCTAAAAAGTCTTGCATATTCCGGTCACTGTATTGCTGAGTATGACATTAATAAAAAAAAACAAAATGGCTGGATTGGTATGTGGCGTCACTCATCTGTTATCCTATCTAGCTAATAAGTCAATACATATTACTACATATCCATAGGCTACATAAAAAGCTAAACATGTTACTATTATTACTTATACTGGTAAGGCAAGGCAAGGCAAATTTATTTGTATAGCACAATTCAGTACAAAGGCAATGCAAAGTGCTTTATATGATTAAAATATAGGAAAATAAAACAGAATAAAAGCAAGTAGGAAAACAGATAAATAAATTAAATTAAAAATGCAGAAACAAAAAAGAACATTAAAAACAGTTGGACAACTGTCCAACTATACTGGTATAGTTCTAAACTTAGAGCATAAACATAAGAGAAACAAATATGTTTAAATCAATTTGTAAACATGTGACAACATTGAAAACCAGTCTTTCACTTAACAGGCTCACCTAATAACTATTGGATTCAGTTAAAGCAAAAGTAGCTCAATATAAGCTGACTTATGTCGGTTGCAGTGTCTATGGGGTTGACCCTGCTTTCCCTTTTTATTTTGCATTAATCTGTGTTATGCATTCAGGCTTTTGCCAGTACTGGTCATCAAGGTGCATCTTTGGTTTAAAATGCCGACTTAATACACCTTGATAACTTCAGCCTCTTCTCTCAAGAAGTAAAAAGTTGACACACCTGAGGTTATGTAGTGCAATGTTCAACAGTGTATAAAAAAAAGCCTTTAAAATGAGTCACAGTAAAAGGAAAATGCTTGCCGGCACTGAGTAGGATGGATTGAGACAGACAGAGCGTAACAGAGAGGATGTGAATACAAGCATGGCGTATACAAACAAACAAAGAAGAGAAGAGAAATAGAGAAACAACATGTGAGAGCTCTGGAGGCAACCGCACTAAGAGAATCTGTAAACACGAGAAAAAAAAACTGTATGCTCATCCAACAATCTGGTGCACAACAGGGAGCTTACAGTGATATTGGGACTGGGCAGCAGCACAGTGTTTTGTAATGTGCTCAAGTTAATATGCTGTAATAAATGAAAAAAATCCCCTCAAAAAGCTAGTCCATTGTGACAAACATAAGGCATTTTGGACTAGCCTGGCCTGACAAGTCCCGCTGTTTGAGTCAAAGGAAAGCAGGAAGCTCTCTGTCAGGATCCATCACCCTCTGGGAGACGCTGCGGTTATGACTGATAGTTAGAGACATAAGCTTCCAGCGTGCAGGAGGTCAGCCTGTCTGAGTGACAAAGGAAGCAGTTATTGTGCACAAGATGTCACGAGGGATCTGCGCAATCAATAGAGGTTTGCTGAGAAATGTTGAGTCATTGATTCAAACAGGAAGAGGAGGCATTTAACAAAGCTACAGTCTCTGTTCAATTTACATTTCCTTATTTGCAAATTGCCAGTTGCCCATTCAATCTCACACATATCACTTTCTTTCATTACACGGTGTCTTCTAAATTGTTTACCAGATATGAAAATCTTTTTAAAGTTCTTAAAACTGCACAAATTGCAAAGACAAAAAACTTCTGTGCAAACGCGATGGTGTTCCACTGTTGTATGTGTGCTTAGCTTTACTCACGCTCGACGGTGTGGTGTGCAATCAAACGTCTCACTTGTTTCTCTTTCAGCCATGAAATCCGGAGGCACCCAGCTGAAGTTGATCATGACTTTCCAGAACTATGGACAAGCGCTGTTCAAACCCATGAAGTAAGTAGCGCAGCAATGAGTTATATGATTTGATAGAAGCCTTACAGTTGCCTGGATTTTCATAAACATTTCTACAATCTGAAATTTGTTTGTTGCACAGGTTTTTAAATCCCTCAAACCTCTTTCCCTTTATAATAACATTTATTAATATTTTTAAGAATATCAACCTGAAAACTGTGGGATGCTGCTGTAGCCTTTTAGGTAAACGGCAAACATACAGAAGATGGTGCTCGGGTTTGATTATATTTAATAAAATATTTTTGATCTATATTAAGACTTTAGGAAGAAACTGTTTCAGTAAAAGGAAGCAACCCACAGGAAAGCCAGTATCATGCTTTTATTAGCAGAAATGGTGATTAGCTGGGGTAAATAATGAAAATATAATCCTAAAAGAAATAAGCAACTTTATAAAATAGGCTTAACATTTCATTGTTTTAGGTCTTTGAGATCTTTGAAAATTATGTGAATTAATGATCATGCATTTGGTCATCTATAACATAGAACCCCGTTAATACAGAGTGAAAAATCTCAGGTGGTATGAATACCTTTGGAAGTATTGCAAATGTAGAAGGGTTGAACAAGGTAAGAAGTGCTGAGTACCAACACTGTCTCTGTTCATATACACTTCTCTCCCCTCTGTGTGAGTTTTTGTTCTGATAGGGGAATCGTCCGCCTCCTTTTTAATTAACATCAACAGGCTTATGTGTTAATTAAAACGAGCATTGAGCCATCCCATAGTCGTCTTTGGGGAGGCCCAACATGCCAGCAGAGGCACATTGCTCTTGAAAAAGAAATACCTTTTAACTCTCAGCTGTCTTGAGTTTTTCCCCTTGAATTCCCATGTCGACACGGATAAACAGAGTCCAGGCCAACTATGCGGCGATCAGAAGTAATTGCTCACAAGCTCGGTTTGATTGCTATGAAATGCAAAAAGGTTTTCTGCATGAGGGCCCCCGTGGAGAACATTAGATATGGGGAGTGAGAGAGGGGAAAAAAAGAGGTAAAGCAATGAAGACATCCGTGGGATGATGTGTAGGTGTGTGTGTGCTCAGGATGTCTCTCTCTGCTTAAAGACTTGTGAGGAGTGAAGTTCTAGGAAGTTCAAAAAAAACAAAACAACTCTTACAAGTTGGACTTCAAATTTTTTATGTCAATTTAACTAGACAAGCAAAACATCATGGAACCAATCAGAGCTGGCCCCTTTGGGCCCCTAGTAACGGTGAGTGTCCCCAACAGATTCTCACAAACTTTAAAAAAAAATGTTGCTTTTGTTTGTTGCTGTTGTTTACTGCAATGGAGAAGACTTTAAAAGTGCTCCGATGTTTACAAAGTAGCACACTGACTAAAGTTACAATTCTTAACCAGTTAAGATGGCTGCAACTAATGGTTATTTTGCAAATCGATTTATCTGTCCATTATTTTTTCGTTTAATCGATTAATAATTGGACTGCAAAAGGTTACTTAAAGATTTTTTTATTAAATTTAACTAGGTGAAACTAAAACTTTTCCTCTTAAAGAGTTCTGGATGGAGCATATTGACAAACGAAAGCATTTTTTTAAATCTTTAATGCAAAATGTTTAAATATTTTTTTTTATGTGTTTATGGTTTCTGCTCTAAGTGGGTTGTTCTGTCAGATAAAGATATATTTTAGAGTCTCTATACCCCATTTAACGATTAACCGATTACTAAATTAGTGGATGATTATTTCAATAATCGATTATTCATGATTAAACATGATTAATCTGATTATTTGTTTCAGCCCTAATATTAATATTTAAATCAAATCAAATTTTAAAAGTACTGGTAATATGGATAGTGGTCTGTTACCTTTCAGCAAGTTTATTAGTATACTTTATGTGTGCTTTAAAATTCTATAATGCATGCCAGAGCAGTGTGGGGCAAAGCGTAGTGATGCGTGTCCCCTCCTCCACCTGTTGCTGCACACTGCCTATCAATTGGGATGAAATAAAGCAACTGTTTTAGAAGTTGACTGTGGAAAACTTTATACTCTCTTAAAACTTTGAAATAATATGTGTGGGAACTAGAGGAGTGCAACATGTCACTGCCGTGACCATATCTAAAAAAAAACAAATGCCGGACAAGTAGCTTATGAGGGACAGTGTGAGAATGGCAGCGGTTTTTCATTCTTGCGCGTCTTTTGTGACTCTCATTTACATTGTTGCTGTACATTTTGCCCCCATTGCAATCACCTGTCACTAACCTTACCCTTATAAACTGCTCAGCTGTCTTTGCATTTTATATTTTGTTAAACTAATTCCATTTTATTTTCAATTAAAATCCTCTATCTGTTTGGTTTGATGGAAATCGTGCGCAGGTTGGTCACGATGTGGGGCCCAGGCTCAGCTCTGTGACAGTGACTAAAGCTCTGCTTTCTTTGCATTTAGGAAATGCCAGGGATTTTCTTTTCATATTTATTATAGAAGGGGAAAATTCATCATAATTCTACACTAATGGGGACATCGCAATTTAGGGTTCAGCTGTTTGGAAAACCAAAGTGTGTTAACTGAATAAGCTGGTTGTAGGCAGGCAGTCAGAGCAGGTTGATGACTGAATTACCACCTAAAAACAGCTTTGTGCGCTTTTGTTAATCTACAAAGGTCCAAATGGTAAAATATTCTACAGACAAAACCCTTTAAAACTAATGCCAACGTTAGTGATTATTTTTATTCTATCTATTTAAGAGTCTGGGCACAAAAGTTAGTCAGAATTAACTCATTTCCCCATTTTATTTATAGCCTACACTTTTAAACAAATTTTTCACAAGTTCAATTTTTTTTATATATTTTGTAAGGCCAATGTTAAGGCAAATAAACAAAAGCAGTGGTTTGAATGCCAGTCAGCTTTCATGTCTGCAATACTACCAAATTAAATTCTGCTTAGTGTAGCTATGCAACTTTTAGCCTGTCTTTAAATCAACCAGAACAGTAGCCTGAAAGAATCAGCAGCAGTTTTTTTTCTATTTACGAAATATCTAGTATTTATTTAGACTGGTGTTTCCTGAGTAGTCAGAAATCACAAACATTGTGAAACAATAGCCCAAAGAATATTGTTCAAATCTTTTTGTCAACAACACCCAGCAGGCATCTTCAGGGCAGTCACATCTGACAAGATCAAAGATCACCCTAGGTTTGTGCATGTCTTTGTGGGTGATTCACGTACAATTGGACGATACATGTATGAGTTGCAGATGAGTGTAACTTTCGTGGTAGGCTGGGTGAGCAATCCTTCAGAGCAGAAGCAGGACATGGTGAAGTCCTGGGGTGGCGCTCGGTGCAGGGGTTGCTCTGAACATGTCAAGAGACAGTCCTACACTATGAACAGTCATACAGTGTCTTATAGAGGCATCTGTTAGGGTTTGTCAAAAAAAAGAAACAGTTTTCCTTTGCGAGGCACATCATTATTTACATACAATCTATAAAACATATGTGATGCTTGAATATATTACATTTTGCAAACAAAAACCCACAACATTGAACAGAAATAGAATTTAGAGGTATAATGATTGAATGCAGTACATGGTATTGTAAAACTAAAATTAACATAGGACTGATTGAAAGAAAAATTATGCATTTGAATTGAAAATGAAAAGCTCTGGTTTATTACTTTAGACATGACCAAAACTGTCTCTCCCAGATTCTACTGGAAACCGTTTTGACAGTAATTACATGTCAGTTTCTGAACCATGAGCTACAGATTCCTGCAGCTCTTTGTTTGGCCTGTCATATTTTATTCAGGCCTTGTGCTTTGACTGTCACAGTCATCTGTTTGCAGTGTGTACAGATGTTATACAAAGCTCCTTGGAGCAGAATTGCTGAAATAAAAACCTTTCTGGGAAACAAAACTTGGGAAAGAAATAACTTTGTTTCAGTTTTGTTTGTTAAAGAATGCTGTGCTTTTATGGTTTCTCTTATTCTGATCCGTCCATATTTTATTTTCAGGAGTTGAGAGGATCCTTGTAATGTCATGTTTGTGTTGACCCGTCCTGCTGTACAGCATCAAGCAATGTTTCAGAGAGAGTTTGATGCTTCAGGCCTCCTTTGAGGTGGATGCAAATCGCTACAAAGCCATAAGCCTGGAGTCTACATGAGTTGACAGCTTGCCAGCCAACTCCACAAGATGTCTTCCCCATGGAGGCTTCTGAAAGCATTTGAAGCTTTATTTTATCTGTCTAACTAACTTTTGGATTGAGAGTTTGAGCCAACTTTGAAAAACCATCGTTTATATTTAGATCCTCCCCATTAAAACCAATCTATCCATTCGAAACAGTTGCTGCCCCAGGATTTTGATATAAGCATTTTTGTTTAATGCATCCGTACCAAGGCTAATGGAAGAATAAGAGAATGATGAAGTTATGCCACTGATATAATGAGCAGTCATCTACCAGACCATCTAGGTGACAGGAGCATGTTTGTGAGAATAACATTATGTCAGGCCACATTTTATGTTTCTATGAAAGATATCTAGATGGGTTTGGGTAGTTTTATTGAATAATTTAATTACTGCTCACACTTTTCAGTGTTTTTTTGTTTGTTTTTGTAGTGTAGATCAAGCTAGTCTACACTGCTTTTAAATCCCTTTATATGATGCTGGTTAGATTCCTCAGTTTGTCTGCCTGGCTGTGTGTTTCCTAGATGGGGCCGCCTGTGGTGCTGGTTGACAGTTACCTTTTGTATCTCTGCTTCTGTCTCCTTGAACCCCTGTTGGCCTCGGCAGATGGCCGCCCACACCGAGCCTGGTTCTGCTGGAGGTTTCTTCCTGTTTAAAGGGAGTTTTTCCTCTCCACTGTCGCTACAAGCATGTGTTGTGAATTGGCGTTTTATAAATAAACTGAACTTAATTGAATTGAATTAGATCTCAACAATCCTGTTTCTCAGACATCTCACATGAGTTTCTTCTTTCCACTGCACAAGTTGAAAGAAACCATCAAATCTTGACCGTGAATGCGATTATATATATATATATAGCAGTTATTAATTTA